TTGATTGCTTGTTTGTTTGAGTCTTCGGCCTTGTCAAAAATGAGTCGTCTTTGGGCTTTGACATTCACTCCTGTCACTTCATGACTTTCGAGTTCTGTCAAAGAGGGGCAACTGTACACACCCCATTTCTGACCGACCTCAAGACTTAGACGTCATCGTTTGTGCACTCGATGATTGTGCTTGTTTGTGCTCGTTTTGAGTGCCCAAAGTTCTCGGCAGAATGCCTTGTCTTTGAGCCTCTAAACCATCTTTTCTTTGTGCTTGTTTTTGGACCAAACCTTGGTGCCTCTTGCCTGGAGGGGGAGAAGGGCCTTGTCAGCTACTTTTGGCCCTTCTCGGCCACTTTTCCCCCTTGTCGGTCACTTGAAGTGGTTGATCGGCTAAGGGAGGTGGCCGGCCGGCCACCTAAAGTGGCTGACGGCCATTTTTCTCTTTTTTCAGATATTTTCTTTGCCAGCTGTGCCAGTTGTTAATCACTGAATGTCATCTCCATACATGTGTATAGAGGGATGAATGCAAGCCTTTGGCTTGTATTTCTATATAATGGGGGGTCTCTCCCCCATTTGAGGGGTTAGAAAATTTTGTGAGCAAATTTCTCCCCCCTCTCTCTCTCTCTAGAATCTTCTCTCTCTCTCTCTCTCTCTCTCTCTTTCTATTTTGTGCTTGAAAGTGAGAATTCTCTACACATTTGCACTAAGACCCTTGACCAAACATCTTCATCTTGGAGCTGAGGCTCTTTAAGTCTTAGTTTGAGTTCTTAAGGCTAGTTTTGGCTTAGAATTGTGGCTGTTTAGTGCTGTGCTTCAAAGGTATAAGGCTTACCTCATTTAAGCTTTGTTTTAATCAATTTCTTGGCCATCTTTTTACACTATTTTGACCTGGTTTTTCAACCATAAAAAACTCTGTTTTTAAGGTTACAAAATGATGGCTTAAGTCTTGTTGAGTTAGGGGGTTGTCTCCTCTTTTTGCTCTTTGGCTTGTGAAGCCTTTTATGCCATCTTTCAAAGCTTTTTGAAACAACTTTTTGGGCTCTTTTAACCACTGAATTCTTGGGGAATTTCAGTGGTAAAAGCTTGGTTTTGAGGTCCAAAAAAAGAGGGGGTGGCCTCCCCTCCTTGTGTCTTGTTTGCAAGTGTTGATAGCCTAACATGTGAGCACGTTTTTCTATATTTTTGTGACTTGATCTCAACATGTTTTAGGCTCTGATTTGGCATGATTTAACTCTGTTTTGAGCTGTCTTGGTCATATGAGCCTTGCCTTGCATGGTTGTAGTGCAAATGCCTTCACTAGCTTAGTGTTTCAAGGACTCTAACATGTTTCGCTTGAGATAATTACATGTTGTAGCATCATTTTACATGTGATTTCAATGTATATAGCTCTGTCACACTCTCACTTATTCCACTCTTTCATTGCTTTTGAGAGTTGTGTCTTGAGTCTTGCTTGCCGGCTAACATGTGAGCATGCTTTTCTAGCCGTTTATGCTTCAATCTCAGCATGTTTTAGCCACTATTTTGGCATGTTTTAACTCTGTCCAGAGCTAGTTTGGTCAGTTGAGCTTGGTATTGCATGCCTCTAGTGTAGTGCTCTTCGCTAGTTTAGTGTTTTGGCTTTTGAACATGTTGTGCATGAGTTGCTTGCATGTTGTAGTATCATTTTGCATGCCATATCAGCACTGAAATGTCTGCAACCTGCCTCTATTCCTCACTTTTTACTTTGTTTTGAAAGTGGACTTGAGCCCCTTGTTGGCTTGAGTGTGGAATTGAGGCTCTCATGCCTAATGGTTTTAATCCTCTCTTGAGGATTTCTACTAACCAACAACATAAAACCTCTTTCATGCTCATGGCACTTGTGGCTTAGGCCCTCTTTCCAATTAGAGGACTTTCACTTTGGACTTAACCGGTTAAAGGACTAATCGGTAATGTAAAATTTGTAAACAAAATGAATCAAGTAAAACTTGAGTAAGATAAGCATCTTTGTGTTGCATTGCATTTGTTTGGATCGGATGTTAATTCAAACACAAGAAAAATGGGACGTTTCATACTCAAAGTGATGAAATGTGCCACTTTTCTCGGTCACCGTCACCCTTGATCATGTATGATAGGGTGGTGGTCCTTAGAGTCTTATTTGTGCATTCATTAAGCTTGTACAAGCTTGGTTTTCTAGCCATCATGCATTGAAAGTGCTTGATTGGTGGCTTGAGAGCCAAGTGCCATACTCCTTTGAGCTTGAGAAATGATAAGGAGGGTGGCAGTACACACATTCCTTGAAATATGCATTGCTTTGCCTCTGTTGCTCTCTGTTGCAGCAAAAACAGAAGTTTGGGAAAAAGGGTGGCCGACCGGCCACTTAAACTAGCTGACCGGCCAGTTAAGGTAGTCGACAGCCACTTTTTGTGGCCGACCGGCTACCAGTCATTTTTTGTGCAAAAGTGTTCCTGTGTTAGAGCAGAAGCAGTTTGGAAGTTGGTGTAATTTTCAGAGATCAAAGTGTGTGCAAACAGAGGCAACTGATGGCAAGGCAATGGATATTCAGGAGGAAGCCAACCGAGCATGCATGCATCTCTCGCCCTCGAGGCCACTTAATTGCTTTAATTAGTTAGTGTAGCTAATTATTCATTGATGTTGTATTTAATTAGTTAGTGTAACTAATTCTTTAGTTTTGGTTTGTAATATCTTAATTAGCTTAGCATAGCTAGTTAATTAGTTCGTTTTGTAATAATTAGCTTAGCTTACTATAGCTTAGCTTATTCATTCGGACCCTCCTTCACGAGGGCGTATTGTTGTAATAAGTGTGCGTGCGTGTGTGCATGTCTTCCAACCCCACGTCTTTCTCCCTTTTATTTATCCGCTTTTGATGGTTAGATTAGGGACACGTTTCGATTAGCATACCTTATGCTTTCATGTTTGCATCATTCATTTGTCTTGCATGCACCGAGGCTTGGCGCATCATTCAAACCGCATTGTCAATTCAATACTTACTTGAATACGTGTTGCAAAGCATGTTATCAAATTGTATCATATGCCATGATTAGGTAGTCGAGCCTATCTTATTGCGTTATTGCATGTGTTGCATTAGGCATTTTGTATAGTAAGGATCATGCATATTTCTAACTAGCTTTTGTTTTGGCTTGGAGTACACTGTAAGTTTTTCATTTTAGTGTGCTTGCATGAGTGTGAGTGTTTCCATGATAGCATGCTTGCCATGAGGCTATTTGCTTAAGTGACTAACTGCATGAATACCTGTGGATGAAGGCTTGTTGTTTGAATTGGAACAGTTCAACGAATGAATGTTTTAAGCCCACTTTGCGAAGTGGCAAACCATGTTTTAAGCCCACCTGAGGGTGGCAAATCCGCGTTTTAGCCCAATTGAGGGTGGCACCTCCAAACCATTTTCGAAAACAAACATGAGTCGAAATGTTCCAATTCTTGCAATTTAGTCTACACTTGTATTTGTGCATCACATAGTAAAGTTAGCTAATAACCGAATAAGAACACATGAGGTTTATAAAACAACATATCATGATAGTAGAGGCCAATCTTTGATCGGGCGAGCGGGGATGCTCATTTCAGGATCTTCCCTTCTCGTACCCAAGTTCCTGAGTCGAGGCAACTTTGGTGATGATGGACACATGGCCTTTGGCATGAGTCCGGGTTTCCTAAATTTCCCAAAAACAAAATATTTAGGTAGCGACTCTGTAATCTGGAAAAACAGTCCAATTTTGGCATTATTTGATTTAAAATCGATTTTCCAAAATGATTTACCGGATTGGACTCTTTGGTGTATATCAGTCTCACATTGAACTTTGTGAGATTAGATTCAGAACCGTGACAGGAGTCCAAACTATAGGACCAATTCAAGCTCTTCAAAAGGGGGTGAGAAGAAAGTCGAGTCTACATGGGGCAGTTGATGCCGAATACGTGGAAGATAATATTGGCCTGCACGATCGCGTGGCCATGGGCGACTGGAGCGGGAAGCAATGACTGTGGATGAATTTTTTTCATGCTATAAAGCCTCAGGGAAGTAAGAGACCTAGGTGACACTGCAAGCGGTAGTGGGGAGAGGGCTGGTGGCAGGGTTGCCCTCGTCGGTGAAGGATTGGAGGCCGAGATGGTTTTATGTGTCGGTGAATGGTGGGAGAGGGGTGTGCATAAGTTGAAAGGTTCCCACAAAGTTGTTGAAGCAAAAGTTGGAGGTGGTGACGGAAAGTAGGGTGAAACAACTGAAGGAGTGGAGGGAAAAGGAATGATTGAAGTGGGACGATCTTGTCCAACCTTCGGCCCTCTTATCCTTGAACCTAAGGCCCAAGCCAAACGAAGGAGACCCTGCGCCAGAAGAAGTAGAGATGAGGAGGAAGGCGCAGGAGGCAAAGGACAAGTGTGCTTTTGTGAAGGCTGAAATATACAAGGAGCAACAATTAGGCCTAGCACCTTAGTTGGTCGTGAAGAGGCTAGTACGACCACGACCAAAGCATTTAGGTGAGAAGGACATAACTAATTTTGTGCTGTTGCGAGCGCCAGTGGAGCTGCTAAAAGAGCAAAATGATAAAGATGTGGAGCTAGTGTTGAAGAGGAAGAGGAGGAGAATGATCGTAAAGGGCAGAGAAGAAAGGTTTGTGGTGAAGAATATGAAAGAGGCAGTGGAAGAGAGGCCCCCAAAAGAAGGGGAAGAAAAGAGCAGGGTTGGGAGAGGAGGTAGTGGATGAGCAAAAAGGGTTGCCAGAGGGCGATTAGGCGATAGACCTGCCCTCCAAGGATGTGCCCTGCAAAGAAGTACCGCCAAGACAAGTGGTGGGTGTAGGGTTATCCGGCAGAACAGAGGGGGGTGCTGCGTTGAATACCACCACGCACCACGTTTGCGCAGTGGTTGGCTACCAAGGGGGTGATGGGGGCGAAGCGAGGGTGACTGCAGACTGTCTGTTGGGGGCTGTGGAAGATGCGGCGGTACAGAGTGTGGCGCGATTTATAGAGGTTGACCTCCTTAGAGGATTTTGCTTAGCGTAAATGGAAACGCCGACCTTAGATGCTGCCCTTCTAGGCAAGGCAAAGGTAGAAGTGGAGCCGCTAAAAGGTGAACTAGAAAAGGCACGGGCACAAGTCCAAAACTTAAGGAGGAAGGTAGCTAGCTGGAGAAAAGTGGCACGGAGCGCCTGTGCAAAAGGTCTGGCCTACGCTCAGAGGGCCAAAAAGATGGAGGTGTTGGCTGTGGTGCAGGGTTACTTGACTAAGCACTCCAGGATGAGTCAGGGTGAGGTTGCGTCCGAGTTGTCAACTCCCAAGTCTGAGCTGGAAGTGGTACACAGGGTGATATCACTAGAGTTTGAGCTGGCGAGCGAGCATAAGAGGACTGACGAGGCTCAGCAAGCCTATGCTATTGCCAAGGAGAGGTTGGAGGAGGCCCTTATGAACAATGAGGACCTACATGACTCGGCCGTGAAAGATAAGGAGGATGCGGATGTACGGATCGCTGATTTAGAGAGAGCCTTGGAAGAAGAGAAGGGTAAGACAGCAGAGCTGGCTAGAATGATGGAATCTGAGAAGGCTGCCTATCCAGATCTGTGTACGGCGGCAATGGAACAGTTTAAGTTATCCTCAGAGTTCCAAATGTCTATGGATGCAGCGATGGTGAAGAGCTTGGCCAGAGAGGGGGATGGTGGGGCTGGACCATCGAACTTGGCCACTGCGAAGCTGGTGGAGGGGAAAACTAAAGAAGAGATAATTCAACGGTTTCAGCAGTTGGATTATTACAAACATGAGATGAGCTTATATTGAGATAGTGGCTGGACAAGCTTTAAATATAAGGCGGAGGAGCTCTTTCCAAGCACGGATTTCAGTAGGGTGAGGCCAGGAGAGGAAGACATTGCCCAAACCCCGCTAGATGAGGGCGTCGAAGAAGAAGATTTGGTATCCAGTAAGAGCGAGGAAGGGGGAGCCTAAGCTTGAGGGTTGTTCATGTCATATCTTGTTTATTATTATATTTTTGTTTTTTTGTTTTTTTTTGTTTTTGGGTGTAGAGATGTAATTTCTGTAATGAGATGTATGGTTTTGCAAGATGTTAATATATAAAAATTGGAATATCTCTTGTGGTCGTTGTGTTTGTATTGTGTGAGGATGATTAATGCCTTAAATTGTTGGAAAATATGGAAATGGCCTTGGGTAAAACTGGATAAATAATTTAACTTGGGTAAAAATGGCCTTGGATAGAAATGAACTTAGATTTAACTAAGTGTTGGAAATTTTGGCTAGCTTATTTGAATGGATACGTGAATAGGACCAAGCATTGTACGGTTTAACTTAGTCTGGATGGGCTTTTCATGCTCAGTCTGACTGAGACTTTTGAGGGCTTAGTCTGCCCGAGCTATGGTTAACTTAGTCTCGCTGAGCTCTTCACGTTCAGTCTGGCTGAGCTCTTTATGCTTAGTTTGGCTAAGGCTTGTTTTACTCAATCTAGCTGAGCTCTTCATGCTTTCAGTCTGGTGCTCAGTCTGGCTGAGGCTTTGGAGGGCTCAGTCTGGCCGAGGTTTTGTTTACTTTTTAGATGAAGGCACAACACTGATAATGGGAATCTTGAATTGTTGTCATAGTCCTGCAATCATAAATACATGCATGGCATGGCAAGAGCCAAAATGGACAAGTGTTCCGATCACCAAAATGAAACATACAACAATTTAAATAAAAGAAGAAGTAGGAATTGCCGCTTTACTAGAAGTTCTATTCGAAGGCCTATTGGAGGACTTTGATGGGGAAGGTCTCTGGCCTCCATGTCTTGGAGATAGTTTATGCCTAGGTGGGGTCTTGCTATGAATGCTCTCGATCGGATGTTGTGGGAAGGTAATTGCTAGCTTACCCTCGGTTGGTTTTTGGTAGCGAGAGTGGTTTCGTGTAAGATGAGGTCTCCTACTGTGAATGCTCTCGGTCGAACGTTGTGGTTATAGAGTTTCCTTACTTTCTGTTCATACGAGGCTAGTTGGATAGCAGCTGTTTCCTGTAATTCCTCAATGAGGTCTAGGTCGGCTCACCGAAGGTCTTCGTTTTGGTGTGGATTGGGGTAGATGATTCTGGGAGTTGGTAGGCCGACTTCCACAGGGCTGACCGCTTCGGCATCGTATGTTAGGCGAAATGGGGTCTTCCTAGTTGGAGTTCGGGCAGTCATCTGATAGGCCCAAAGGACGTTGGGCAATTCTTTTGCCCAGAGGCCTTTGGTGGCTTCCAGCTTGGTCTTGATGATTTTCAGCAAGAAGCGGTTGGGGTGCTCCACTTGATTATTGGCTTGAGGGTGGCCTAGGGGGAAAAACAAGTCTTGATGTTGAGTTTTGTGCAAAATTCCCTAAATTTGGCATTGTCAAATTGTCTGCCATTGTCGGAGATAATGGCTTGGGGAATCCCAAAACGACACACAATGGACTGCCAAATGATCCTAGTGGTATTCCGCTCAGTAATCTTGGCGAGAGGTTCCGTTTTAACTAATTTGGTGAAGTAATCGATGGCCACAACAACAAACTTTACTTGACCCTTGCCGGTCAACAAGGGACTCACGAGATCAATTCCCCATTTAGCGAAGGGACAAGGGCTGCTGAGCGTGATCAACTCCGTTGGAGGGGCGTGGGAGATGTTAGTGAAACACTGCCATTTGTCGGATTTCATAACAAAATCAATGACGTCTTGACTGAGTGTGGGCCAAAAGTAACCTGTTCCGAGAATTTTATGAGCCAGAGATTGTCCGCTAGAGTGATTCCCACAAACTCACTCATATATTTCTCTCATTACATAGGTTGCTTGGTCATTATTGAGGCATATGAGATATGGTCATGCGAATCCCCTTTTATACAAGGTGCCACTGATAATGACATAATTCGACGACCGAGTCTTGACTTTGGCGGCTTCAAGTTTGTCTACTGGAAGTGTTCTGTGCTCGAGGAATGTGATGATGTCCTGGGCCCATGGGATGGGCTCGTTCTAGAGTAGGTGAATTGCTTGTTGATCTGGTGAGACTACTGGATGAGTCAGGTACTTAACTTGGACGCCATGGCAGAGGTCTGATTGGTCTACTGAGGCTAACTGTGCCATTTCATCTGCTTGGGAGTTTTCTGACCTAGGGACATGTCGAATACAAAAGCTATTAAAAAGGTGGGTCAGATGAAGAGCAATGTCCCTGTATGATCGCATGGCTTCTTCCTTGGCACCAAAATCGCCATTATCTGGCCGGCTACCAACCAAGAGTCGCTAAGTACTTGGATGATCAACTTTGATATCTTTAGCCAGTCGGAGACCTGTTATGAGAGCTTCATATTCGGCCTGGTTGTTGCATGCTGTAAATAGGAATTTGGAAGGCGCATTTGAAGTATTCTGCTTCTGGGGTGGTGAGGATTAAATCGGCTCCGCTACCCTCTTTGCGGGATGAACCATCGACACAAAGAGTCCAGGAATGGGGATCTTCCTCCTCAATGGTGTCGTGACCTGGTGAGGGGGGGCCTGCAGGGTAAGATTTGTGAATTCCAAGATAAAGTCGGCGACAGCCTGGCCTTTGATGGCTGTTCGTGGTCGATAAGAGATGTCGTATTGGCTTAGTTCAACGGACCCTGCCTGATGATTCTAGTTGTTGTATGATCTTTTTCAAAGGCTTATTAGTAAGAATCACTATGGAATGAGCTTAGAAATATGGTCGGAGGCGTCTGGAGGTGATGACCAAGGCGAGAGCCATTATTTTTTTTCTAATAGAGGGTAGTTCAGTTCAGCTCCCCTGAATGCGCGGCTGATGTAGTAAACTGGGTGTTGTACTGAGCCGTCTTCCCTGATGAGAGCAGCGCTGACAGCGGTGTTGGACACAGCTAAGTAGAGGAAGGGGATTTCGTCTGGCAATTCTTGATAGAGGAGATGAGGGTTGGCCATGCATTGTTTCAGTTGCTGGAAGGTCTCCTCAGACTCAGTGTTCCATTCGAAGGCCTATTGGAGGACTTTGAAGAATGGAAGACATTTGTCAGTCGCTCACGAAATGAAACAGTTTAGGATGGCAACTCTACCTGTGAGCTGTTGAACCTCCCTGACCGTTCTGGGAGACTGCATTTTTATTAGGCCCTGTTTGTTTGGAGAGTTAGAGAGGGGATTGAGATTGGTAGTGAGGTGAGACTCATTAATATTGTGTTTGTTTTGAGAGATGAGGAGGGGATTGATAGTGAGTCTGGATTAGGATAGGCCTCCCCAAGGGGATTCAGATGGGCTTCCAGGACTTGGTATTAGAAAAATAGTCTGACGGACTAGAAACTTTTTATTTTTATTTGTTTTTTATTTTATTTTTTACATGTTGGGATTTTTTTGAACATTAATATTTAATTTTTTTTTAATTTTTTGTTAAGTAAAAATCATTATTTTATTTGTTTTATTTTATTTTTATTTTTTTAAATTTTTTTACATGTTGGGCATTTTTTTTTAAAACATTAATGTTTGATGTTTTTGTATTTTTTTATTTGTTTTATTATTTTATATAAAAATAATTTAACAATCCCTACACTAACAACTACCATTAAAACAAGCACAATTTTACTTAATCCCCTCACTATCAATCCCTCACTAACAATCCCCTCACTATTAATCCCCTCACTATCAATCCCCTCTATTCTATCTCTGAAAACAAACGAGGCCTTAGGGCCTTGATCTTTTTTGGGTTGGCCTCAATGCCTCTTTGGCTAACCATGAACCCCAAAAACTTACCAGACCCAACGCTGAAGGCGCACTTTTCTGAATTCAACTTCATCTGATACTGGAACAAGGTTTGGAAAGTCTCATGTAGGTCTGCCAAGTGATCGGAGGGGAGTTTGCTCTTGACGAGCATGTCGTCGACGTAGACTTCCATGTTCTGACCTATCTGGTGTTGGAAAACGGCATTAACTAGGCGTTGGTAAGTGGCTCTAGCATTCTTCAAACCGAACGACATGATACGGTAGTAATAAGTCCCCTTGTCAATGATGAGAGAGGTGTGCTCCTGGTCGACTACGTGCATTAAGATTTGATTATAGCCGGAGAAACCATCCATGAAGCTAAGGATCTGATGTCCCAAAGTTGCGTTGACCAATAAATATATCCTGGGAAGGGAGTAGCTGTCTTTGGGGTAAGCTTGGTTGAGGGCGGAATAGTCGACGCAGAGTCGCCATTCGCCATTGTTTTTGCGGACCAAGATCACATTGGACAACCATCTGGGATAGTCCACGTTTCTAATGAACTGTGCCTTCAGCAGCTTGTCAAGCTCAACGACAATGAGGCTGTTGCGTTTCGGATGAAAAATGCACTGTTTTTGGCGGAACGATCGAAATTGCGATTCAATGCCTAGACGATGGGTAATAAAAGAAAGGTCAATACCTGGCATGTCTGAATGGGTCCAAGAAAATACATTATTGTGCTTGGCTAAGAGAGCCGTGAGATCGGCCTTGGCCTGAGAGGACAGCTGGTTGCCAATCTTAGTTGTTTTCGTTGGATCGGTAGGATGGACAGGTACTTCGACAAGTTCCTCTACTGGTTCCCCTCTAACTAACTCTTCCTCATCTCTAACATCAACTCCATTAATGGTCATAGCTTCTTTCATTTTGATTTTCTTCAACGAGGCGACATAGCACTCCTGGGCTATCGTTTGTTCACCCCTTACAATGCCCACCCCCTGGTCAGTGGGAAACTTCATGGCCAGATGGTATGTGGATGTTACGGCTTGAAGGGCATTAAGGGCGGTGCGCCCTAATATGATGTTGTAAGCAGAAGGACAGTCGATGATAAGGAAAGTACGGAGTTTGGTAGACTGCTGTGGATACTTGCCGATGGTGATGGGGAGGTCGATGGAGCCCATGGATATGACCCGATCGCTGGTGAAACCAACTAAAGGGGTTTGTAAAGATGATAACTTCTCTTTCCCGACCTTTCGTTAGCAGTAGGCGTTGAGGAAGATGATGTCTGACGAGCTGCCATTGTTGACTAGAACTCGCCTGACTTTGTAGTTTGATAAGAGAGCAGAGATGACCAGGGGGTCGTCATGGGGATAACGAATGCCTGTGCAGTCTGCCGCCGTAAAGGTGATCGGGTCGGACCATTACTTAGGTTGCTTGTAGGGTCAGTCCACCGTGGCTACATCTCTGTTAGATCTTTGTCGAATTTTTCAGAGCTCAGCTCGATGTGCCGATCGCAATGGTCCGCTGCATGCGAGGCTACCAACAATGACCCTTATTACACCTAGCAGGGGAGAGGGTCACCGTGAGCTCGGGGTTGGTGTTGAGGCCGATCATCATTCTGCTCGGGTTGTGCTAGTCATCGGAGGGGAGTGTGTCGGCGGTTATGGTTTGGGGGGCCAGTTCTAGACCTCTGCGAGGGACGGACTACTGTGAATCGGTTGAGGCGTCCCTGGCGGACCAGATCCTTGACCTGGTCTTTGAGGTTGACACATTCGTTAGTGTTGTGGCCGTGGTCTTGATGGAAGCGGCAGTACTTGGATTGATCCCGTCGGTTAGAGGGGGATTTGGATGGTTGAGGCCATTTCAGGTTACAGTCTCATTGAATTTGGTTTAGAACTTGCTCTATGGGTGAACTGAAGGGGGTGTACCGCTCGAACCGACCAGGTGGGTGGGTTGGAGCCAGTCGGTCCAAGCGTGTAGGCTGATTTGGATGTGGTGGGGGTCGGTATGTATATTGCGAGGGTTGGGGTTCGGGTTCCTTTCTTTTGTCCTTGGAGGTAGGGTTTGGGTGCGGAGTCTTGGCGAGCTGCCAGAGAGTCTTTGGCGTTCATGTATTTTTGGGCTTTGGCGAGAAGGGAGGCCATGGTGGTCGAGGAATTTTTGGAGAGGGAGAAGAGGAAATCGGACGGGTGCAGACCGGCTATGAAGGCTGTGAGAATGACCCTGTCATTGTTTTCCTCCACTTATAGGGCTTCGGTGTTGAAGCGGGTGACATAGCTACGTAACGACTTTCATTTTGTCTACTAGATGTTTAACAGTTGGGTGGTTGGATATCGCTGTCGTTGAGCACCAATGAAATGGATTAAGAAGGATTCGCTAAGCTGGCGAAATGAAGTAACTGAACTGGGGGGAGTTGACTGAACCAAAGGTGCGCTGACCCCTTCAACGTGACAGGGAAAGTGTGACACATGATTTCGTCTGGAAAGGCATGTAAGATTGTGAGTGTCTAATATGCTTCTACGTGATCAACGGGATCAGTGGTACCATCGAAGGTGTCAATCGATGGCATTTTGAACTTGGAAAGGAGAGCTTTATCCCGGATGGACGCGGTAAAATAAGAGTTGACGGTGGAGGAAGTCTTGTGATGTATGTTCTGCATGACTCCTTGTAGTTGAAGTTTCATGGCTCACAGTTCTTCATCCCAGACGGGAGCATTATCTCCACAAACAAGGATCGGGGGCTGAACACTGCTAGCCTCACCTTAATGGGTGATTGCATGGTATGGTAAGGGGTGGTTATGGAAAGGTGGTGGCATATCTCGACGAGATTGCGAGCCTGATGGGAGAGGGTGTAGACCATCAAGATTCGACGGGTTGAGGCCGTGGAGCGAAGGGTGGACATGTTTTTTGAGGCACGTGTGGTGGGAATTGATGGTGATGGTGGGGTTGTTCTTCGTGCAGGGGAACTATTGGCTATGGTAGAGGCGGGATAGGCAGGTCACGCTGGAGTAAGGCATTGATCTGGGCCTGGTTCTGCTCGGTCAGTCAGTTGATATTGTTGGTGAGTTCTGCGAAATATCGAGGCGGGTTGTTTGGGTTAGAGGGCTCAGCTTCGGGGTTACCAGCGTTGTGTTAGGAAGCCATGGATCTAGTCATGACCATCTACTCTGATACCGGGGGTGGATGATTACGGGGTTCCTTCCGATGACAATGAACATTATGTCTTTCCGAAATGGAGTTTCCCACAGATGGCGCCAACAGATGAGGTTGTACTTCCAACGGAAGATGGGTCGGACTGATTCACACTTCTAACGGCTTTGCTAGTCTTGAAGCCCATAGGAGGTGCCTGCAAAAAGGTCTAAAGGGTGAGGTAATCCCCCGGTAGATCCTCCGGTAGATCCTCCAACGATCGAGTTAGAATTAGGTAGATTGACTGTGTAGAGAGAGAAAAAGGGAACGAAGAAAATCTCACCTGTAATGCGTCTTGGAAACTTCCTTATATCCTTTGCTCATCATTTCCTTGTCCACTCCAGACTGTCGTGTTGGCCGAAAGTCCATATTCTAGCTCGCATCGTTCGTGGTGAGTCTGTATATTCTGAAGTGAAGGGGTTGTTGTATAATGCTATGAGAGCCTCATTAATGGTGGATATATCGGTACAATAACTTTGCAGAATCTTTGTCTGCTTATGTGGCTAGACCTCTGCTTGACAGGAGTTTGAATGTTATTGGTCCTGGTCCATCATTGATTTCTCAAGATTACTGGGCCTTAATATCTGGTTCGTGGGGTGAGTCCTGAGTCGTGGGCCAGACTCTTTTGTGGCCCCACCGATATATATATATATATATATCTTATTTCAAAACTACTTAAATCATACAACAAAATATTCATTTTTTTATTATTTTGAACAAACTATATCCTACAATCAATTTAATGGGAGTTTGGCTATATGATGTTAAGTTACCCTGTGCCTATCAAATTAGACTTCAACATTTAGTGATTCGTATAATCAATCTCTAATTGAACCACATAAACATAAATCAAAAACATTTTTTTTTGAAAATAGATAGAATTAATATTTTAGAGATAAAATAAAAATAATAATAATTTAAAGAATAAAACTAAAATTAACTCAAGAATATTTCGGGAGCCTGAAAAGGCTATTTTGGATTCCATTGGATAAATGAGCCATACAATACCTAAATTTTGTCTAATACGAGCAATTATGATCATATATATATACACGTATTTGGAGAGGTTTCTCAGTGTGCTTACGGATCTTACTTTGATGATTCAATTTTGATGATTTTTTTTTCTTTTTTTTAAAATTATTTATAATCTATATATGCATATCATTAATAAATAATAATAATAAAAAAAGCAAATTGATACAGTAATTATAACAACATGATTTGAATCAAAACAATACTTTTTGGCTGACTGGAGATGTTAAATAATAAATTAGTTGTTTGAATTATTAGAATTTTTTCCCATTATTCTTTAATCAAATTTGACAGAACATTGACTAAAAGATAGGTATATATTGACACTTTATTTTCTGTTGAAAGAAATCTAAAATACATATAACACTACAAGTATTAACACTTTTGGCAACAAAAAAAGTGATCGCTAAAAGTCCATTTTTGGTCGGCAAAAGTTATCCGCGACCAATTTTTTTGGTCGCTACTTTGGTTGCCAATTGAGGGTCGGCAAAAGTAATTCGCGACCAAAATTTTGGTTGGTCGGCAAAAGTTGGATTTGCCGACTAAATTTTTGGTCGCTAAATATTCAATTACCGCGACTAATTCATTTTGTCGCTAAAACAGTTTGGTCACGAAAAGTGATATTTTCCCGACTAAATATCTTAGTCGCCAATTGACACATTTCGCGACCAAAAAGTTTGGTCGCCAATTATCACATTCAACGACTAAAAAGTTTGGTCGCCAATTGTGACATTCCACGACCAAAAAATTTGGTCACCATTTGTTACTTTTCGCGACCAAAACTTTTGGTCGGCAAAAGTGAGATTCCACGACCAAGAGTTGTTTGGTCGGCAATAAATGTATTTTTTGCGACCAAAACTGTTGGTCGGCAATTGTAATTTTTTGTGAAAAAAAATTATATATTAGTCGTGACAAATAAATTGATCGCCAAAGCAAGAAAACAATACACCTATAATTCCTAATAATTCATTCAATCCATAATAAACCTATAATTTTAAAGTATCATTCAAATTAACTAAATCATTAACATTCGACACAATACATAATTCATTAACATTCGACACAATACAACTATTCTAAGTTTTCATTCACAAGTCACATCCATCTAGCATAACAATTTAAAACATAACTATTTGTTATCCATGCACAGCTATCAACAAATAAAACTACTAATATTTGTTATCCATACAAATTTGGTCGGTTGCTGAAAATAAGTTTTTGGCGACCAAATTTTTGGTCGCCAAAAAATATGTGATTTTCCGCGACCAAATTTGTAGTTGGTCGGCAAAAGCATACCACTTTCTGCGACCAACTCATTTTTTGGTCGCCAAAATATAACCTTCTGCGACCAATAATATTTGGTCGCCAAAATTAATGATCATTCGCGACTAATTAATATTTGGTCGCCAAACGTCATTTTTTTGCGACCAAAATTTTTTTGGTCGGCAAAAGTGGTCGCAAAATGTGTAAATTCTTGTAGTGTAATTTTACTATATATATTTTATTAGTTTTTTTCTATATTTATTGTGGTAATATGTATGATTCGTAGGGGTGTTCGCGGATCAGTTTTGTGCAGTTTGCGGTTCGGTTTTGACCTGTCCGCATGTATGCGGTTTGGGAAAAAGTCAAACCGCAACCGCCCGCAATGCGGTTTGCGATTTGTGCGGATAGGGTTTGCGGATGTGCGGGCGGTTGCGGACGGTTTGCGGTTTGGATTGTTTCCTTTAAAATTTAATTTTTGAGTTTTTTTTTTCCCATTTTGTAAATATTTATTTGGGTCATTTTATTCCAATTTTCTAAAATGCTCCAACATTAATAATCAATAAATTAAAACTTATAAAATTAAAAACACAACAAAATCAATTCCTAACACAAAAAAATCATTCAAAATCATTCAACATGCTCCAACATTAATTGTGTACTTGGCCCTCTGGGATTCATTTTAGTAAAGAAAAATGAAT